CGCCATACCCAGCAAAAACGTTTTTTATCAGAAAAGTTACTACTTAGGAAAATGTGTTGCTAAAACAAATTACTGTGAAATGCAAAAATCATTTTAAAAACACTTAAATATTTCAGTTAAGAATTGACTGTTTTCTCATAAAATTATTGTAGTATAGTACAAAAGAACACAATACCTTTGAGTTAAGAGACTTGGGAAAAAAAGTTGATTTTTTATAAAGGATGTCTTGATTAGCTGTCATGAATATGACCTAGAGGTGTTTTTAAATAAGAGATTTATATTAATTCTTTAAACGGAGTTAAAGTTTTTGCTTCCTATTGAAATATTTACTTATAAATTAGATTTAAGATCTAATATAAACCTATAATATAAATCTATAGATTGATAAATTTATAGATTTATATTGATTTGATTTTTTCCTAAATGGATGAAAAATACTTTTACAGGACTTTAAAAAATTTCATTTTACACATTATTGTACATTCTACTCAGGTTCTGTGTTAAATCTCTTCTCATCCCTGAGAAGAGGGGGCGATCACAGTGTTCTCCAGGAATGGGCAGAATACCAGAATTCCCCCTGTACCGAGTAGCATGGGTGGCATTTTAAATTAACTCTGCAACAAGGCGGAACTACAGAATGCATTTACTTTCACCGATTAATGTACTCTTCACTTTATACATATAACATGGAAATAGCTCACTTAAGTAGCAAAAACATTTTAATAAAATAATTATTAAATTATAGAAATTATGACATGCAACAATGTTCTAACATCAGGAAAATAATGGTACGGGGAGCTGGACGTCAGAAACAATTCCAGCCACTGTGGATTTGCTAACAGCATCTGCAGAGGACACAGCTCACACTGTGAGCATCAGGGATGAGGGCTGAGGACAGAGGATCTGCAGTGAGGCCTCAGGGCGACCCGCATCCTGACCCCCAAGCAGCACTGCTAGGAGACCCTGAGCGTCCTGCTCTGCAGGGAAGCGGTCTCTGGAGGGACGGTCTGTTCTCCAACCCGAACAGAAGGGTGGGAAATGTTTCCGGAGAGATTCGGCTCAAATGTGGGAACTGCAGAGTGGGGACTGAGGCTGAGATGAGAGCACCGCCTCCAGGCCTTCGCTGAGGCTCGAGCAAGGTCTGAAGCTATGTTATCTGTCCCTCGCTCTTCAGGAGGAGTGGATGCAGGCCCCTGTCAGGGTTAATCCCAGCAGAAGATATTTTCAGAGAGAGCTGAGCAGAATCCCTTCATCAAAGGGTGTACATTCCTCAAATTGCTCTCTACTTCCTTCTTCCAACAGAAATAAAAATTAAACAGAGTATATCTAATCCTTAAACTCCAGCTCAGCTTGGCAAACATGTTTTGGAAAATAAAAATGGAATCAAGAATTCACTCTTGCTACATTAGCGCAAATAATACTCAGGACCCAAACTGTGCGGTATGTAAATGAACAGAACAAAGGCTAACGGGGTGGAAATTAGGGAAATTTTATGATAAAAGAGAAGAAAGGAGAGAGAAAAAGGGAAGGAGGAGGAAGAGATAGAGACAGAGCCTAAGTGACCCACATACATGGAGTGGTGATAAACAAACGTGGGAAGAAAAAAGAAAAGAACAGAGGAAAATTTCCAGAAGAATTTCACATCATAAAAGCGTTTATTAAATCACAAAGATGAAACATTTGAATGAGATCCTTACCAAATGTTTTAAAGTGTTATGTCCATTAAATATTGATTAAATTATAAAATAAACACCATAATTAATAGAAATGAGGATGTTTGGTAAAGCAGTGGGTTAATTAGTCAAAGGATTTCTCTCTTCTTTCACAGAGAATGAACAGATCACGCCTGACATAAAAGCAAATGCTCCGCAAGTGATTTCATGGTTTGACGTTTTCAGTAACAGCCTCCCTTCCCAACTTTATTGAGATCGTTTCTAAAGTTATGTGTTATGTTGACGAAACATTTGCCAAGGTATGTGTTTTTCTCTATTTTATTTCAGTTTTTCCAGTGAAACTATGCGAATAATAGCTTCGCTAACAAATGGCAGGTATGGTTCGGCCTTATTCTCAGCGCGGTATCTGTGCACTGCTCAACCATCGCCACGCAATGCTACATAGCAAGCGCCTCCCTGATTTCACCGCGGTGTCTTCTCGTCCGTGCATCCATGGGTTCCCCGCGTTCCGCTGCCTCTCCTATCTCCACAGTGGGGCGAGGTGGGTTCAAGTCTGTACCCAGTATTTTCCGGGACCAGCAAACCTCTCGAAGCCTGTTTTTCTCATGGTGATGGCAGCAGGGGGTGGGGACTCACTGTCTCTTCCGTTGCCACCAGGCTGGACTTGAACTTGTAGTCCTCCTGCCTTGGCCTCCCAACGGGCTGGGATTACAGGTGTCCACTCTGACGTCTAGCTCTTTCGGGTTTTTGAGTCCGTAATCAGTGCTGCATTAAAAATCATTTGTTCACTGTACAGTCACTTTATTCATTGATGCAAATTGTTATTAAAACCCGATTCAGTGCCTAAACAGGCCTACTACAATAAGAAAATATTTACAATGAGGAATTTGTAGAGGCACGGGGTAAGCAGAAGCGTCTCTTCGATCTGACCGACTGGAAGTGGCTGGGGGGGTTCAGCACAGGCCAGCGCTCCCACACCGACCGCCGCCCGGAAACGCGAGCAGCTGGCGGCATCTCCAGGAAACCCCAGGAACTCGCCGGGGCTGAGGCTCCACGGTGCAAAATGAGCAGAGTGGTAAACAGTGGGGTTAGGAGGGACCCTGTGCCCAGGCAAAGGTTAGAACCGCATCTCAGGGCGCACCGGTGAGAATGTCCCTGCATGTTACGCCGCGAGATTTGCTTGAAAAACCCTTCTGTTCATGGTGAGCAGGGCGGGTCAGGTGGAGGGTGTTGCAGGCAGCGGAGGAAGGGAGCCTGGCCAGGGCCTGGGAAGTGAGCACGAACGGGAGGACCAAAAGGCAGCATCACGCAGCAGGGTCCATGAAGCGGCACTGGACGCAAAGCCGTTCACCTACTGCAGGGGAATAAACGTGACTCTCCAACCGCCGCATGTTGGGATTCCAGCCACCACCGTGATGGCTTCATGCACCTCAGAGGAGGGAGCTTGGAGTGACAGTCAGGTCCCGCACCTCCCCACTCTAAGGCGCCCCCGGGCAGCCTGCTCAGTGAGCCCCCAGTGAAAGGTCAGCCTGCCGGCAGGAAGGACGCCCTCACCCGGCTCGGACCTCTGCACAGAACAGTGACAAATATGTGTGCTTAGAAGCCATAGGGTCTGCGGTACCTCGTTACAGTAGCTGGAACTCAGAAATCTACTGTATTTTTAATTTTCCTACCCCTTCTGAATGTGAAGGGTGACTTATTTGTAACTTTAACTGCACAGAAAAGACTAAATCATGGAAAGACAAGGATGGTACATTATCCTTTTGGAGATAAGGTTATCACACGAGATGCAAAGCTTGCGTTTTCTGCCTTTCCCTAAGCCAACTCCCAGCCAGAGTGGCTGCCTCGGAGTGAGGCACCGAGGATGTGGCCAGGCAGGCACCCCGGACCGGATGGCGAGTCCTCAGAGCAGGTTTCCATCACTTTGTTCTCTGCATGTTTGCAAAGTGCAGATAAGGAGTATTAGATGAGAGAGGGCCCACAGAAGTGAGACGTAGAAATGAAAAATGTAGACACGAACACCTGCCTCGGGAAAATTAAGTGCTGCTCTTTTCTTTTAATAAATATGTGATACAGGCCCTCCACGTGATTCATGGATACCGTAATTTAAAAAATAATGTGTGGTCAGTAGTCAATACCTCTCGGACTTTGAGAAATCGGGGTCATGCATGTTATTAATGCATAACTCTTTCTTTTTCAGTAAAATACACAATGAGGTCTCTGGGTAACTGATCATAAAACAATGCTCACACTTGTCCCACTGACTGGCAATAGGAAGGGAATTGCTACCTCTATGGAAGCATTTCTTTTGAATGACAACATTTTATAAGGAAACAAAAACTAAATATTAAAATAATAAAAGGGGAAGTGTGTGTCATTGAACGACAGACGTGCTGTATCACACCCAGTTAAGCAGCGCTTAACTCTAAGGACTCCATAGTCTTTTCCATGCTAATAAGAGTCTTAAATTGCTGACTGCTTTGCATTTTCTGTGAAGCATCCTTAACCCCCATCTGGGACTTTATAAGCCTGAGACAGAAGTATGACAAGTTGAAGGAAGTAAGACAGAACACATATATTTAGTTTACTTGTTTGGCAGGCAGGTCAGACCGCCAGATATCAAAGTAGAGAAAAGGGCCAGACCTGAGGAGAAGTCTGAGAAGGGTGTGGCTTTGTCATCAGAGGTCTTGGGCTGCTGAGGGCTGAGGACCGAGTTGAAGACTCCAGCCTTCTGTGTGTGGTGCCCTGAGCATGAGCCACACCCTGAAGTGCTACGTAAAATAATCCCTGCAGCCCATCCACTTCCACTCACCGGGCCCCATAGATGCCACTGGAAATGAAGATGTGAGCAGAGGGGCGGGGTCCCCGATGCCAGGGTCTAGCCTGTCACACAGCCCAGCACCACACATTGCTAAGTCACAACTTCAAAGTGAAGCGCAGTTCATCAGAAATCATCACTAAGAGGAGTGGCAGGGTGTCGGGCAGCATGGCTGGGCTCAGGCAAAGGCCCCTCAGAGAAGTGGCTCCTTTTCTTTTGAATTCACACAGAGTGGCCCCTCCCTGGGTGCTTGTCATTCACTGGACTGGGGCAGTATGGGGCTGGGTATCTAAAGCAATGAGTACAAACTGTTTTGGCTGGCAAGGGAAGCTAGTCACAAGGCAGGTGACACCCACAGGTTCCAGCTTTTCAGTGGAAGACCAATCCAATGAGTACCAGGGCAAAATTTATGTGCCAAAAATGTCCAGGACCAAATCTGAGGAGACCCTGAACCCACGAGTTCATTTTCCTGGAGTCCAAAAGACAAATCTCACACACACACATCCATGCTTAGTTGTCTCCCCAAAATAGCCATATTTTTTATTTGATGATTCAGTACATTTTTAATTCAAATAGTCACCATATAACCTAGGCACAATATTAAGCGTTTTACAAGCAAGGTATTTTACTGATTTTCTTTCCAATAGCCAAAGAGTATAATAAGTGAACTGGTTAAAGGATATACTTCTGTACATTAAAAAATCCATGTATTTATACAAGTGTATGGAACAGAGTTTACATGGGTAATAAAACCAGAGCGTCAAAATAAAGAGGATGTGATTCTACTGCTCAGCACAGCACACTTGTCTGGAAGGTGGTCCTGTTTTATCAAGGTGTAATATGTTCTTCTGAGTTGGTTCAGCTTCCCCCAAAGAGGGTTTGGGTGTTAATGAGTGGAATAGAGTCAGAGGCTGCATCTGGCTTATGATAACTATTTTCCAAAAAGTATTTGTGACTAACCAGTTCTATGGACTTCCCACTTCCATATTTTAAAATGCAGATTCATCTAAGCTCTAGCACCGTATGAGAAGGAAATACACGTATTTTTGTCAGAGCAACAATATTTTATATCATCTTTGTTCTCTGGCTGTAACAATTCTGCTTAGAAAAAAATTTACCAAGCTAAAAATAGTCGATCTAGGTTGTCATAAAAAAGAATATTAAATACCTTTGGTAAAAATAGATATATTTAACAAGATTAGAAAAGCCAACAGTTATAATGTCAAAAGGAGAATATGAAAATGTACACAATGAAACAAATAACCAACTTAGAGATAAAATGAAGATAAGGCCACTCTTCTCTTCAGGTTTGTCTCTTCCAAACCGTGAATGTAGTTCTCTTCTTCTAAAAGGCAGACATTTTAATAAGAAACATGGACAATCCAGGCTTTCCTATCAGCATGACACCAGTTTAACAGAGCTCCTCTTGCAAACCCAAGTTCATAGAACATTCTGATTTATACATGTGACTATAAGGCAAAAAACTTTTCCAGATCTCCCATGATTGCAGGCCCAGAACATGGCGCTTCAGGTTAAGCAGAGCGAGGTGATGACCTGCAGCTCCTCCTTCCTAGCAGCGGCAGTCAGCCTGTGCTGGCGGGAGGAGCCGAGCCCAGGCTATCCGATTGGCGCTGGCCTCCCCTGTCCCTTTTGCTCCAGGCTCTGCTGTGCTTCCCACTCATGGGGCCTCCCGGGGGGAAGGCACCAAGGCACCGTGCGTCCTGCAGATGGGAGGTCCCGGAAGCAAACTGAGACTGGGGATGCAGACAGGCGTGAGCTGGGGCCTCGCCGAGCCGCTCGGGAGCTGCCAGCCCGACACGGTTATCCCCCGGCGCTGCCTCGGCACACGCAGCCACACTCCTCGTGGTGCTCCAAGGCCACGTCGGTGAGCGATTTGTGCAACCCCCTGACGCCGCTCTTCGGTCTCAACTGAAGGACCTGAGGGGATGAAGTAGAGCACCCCAAAGGTCAGCGTCCGACACCCTTGATCTCACGTGCAAATAACATTTCCACAAAAGAATCCGGAGCGCAACACCAACAAACGTTAGTGCTTCCCCGGGGGGGGGGGGGACATCACGCGGACATCCTTCTGCCGGACAGCGGCCACAAACTACCATCACCATTTCATGAAAGAAACGGCACTTTAATGCTAACAACCGGAAGCACACAGCCTCTGTCTGAGTAACACAGGCCTTACACTGAGGCTTCGCCGTGTGCGCAGGACGCTACTGCCCCAATGTGCTACAGAGAACGAACGCACCGCGTGCATTTTGGGGTCGCTCATGCAGTTTCTTTTCCTGTTTGTTTCTCCCTCTCCTTCATTTACTCACACATTTACCAAATATGTATCCTCGGGGCAGTGCACTCGGGTCCACAAATACCGTGGGCGGAAACACGACCCTCCACAGCTGTCTGCTCATTTATGCCACGCACTAATTTTCCTGGCTACCGGTCAGGTCTCCTACAAGCCCAGTAAGCTGGACTAGATGTCCCTGGACCCATTGTGCAGAGCTGAGGAGCTTGGCAGCAGAAACCATGCCTCTGGCCAATGGAGGTATCTACAGTGTGGGTGCTTGAGCTTTTTAATAAAAACAGAAAAACAGACACTCAAACTAAACTTATTTCCTTTTAATTCTGGGACAGAAGATCTATCTGTGTATTCTATTAAAGATTATCTGAAGTATTTGATAGCCACTCCCTGTCCAGTGCAGTAAATTGCCTTTCTTAGAATAGAGCTGATAATACTTCCAGAACTGTCTTGTTAGGCTTGGGAACAAAACTCAGGGCGTGTTATATGAAATTGTCTAGTTTCTCTGCTTTCCAGGCATGGAACAGAAGGTTTCGTGAACTGCCTCTGACAAGTTACCTACCATTTCTGTACATTTCCATTAATCCACCAAAGCACAAGTCAAGTCTTGTGACCGTCCTGTCTGAAGACTTACAAAAAGAAAACCAGTGAATGCATACTGGATTGGCAGTGTGTGGATCTATCAGTAGTTAATTAGCTAACATTTTTTGAATACTTACCGAGTGCCAGGCACAATAATAATGTTTTTTACATACTTTAACTCACAAGAATTCTATGAAGTAATTTACAATTATTATCCCGATTTTACACACAAATGAACCGAGACTTACAGTGACACAGTTATTTGTACCCAGGCCAAATAGAAATTATTAAGGTAGGGGTGAGAGAGAATGTTTTCATAAAGACTCAGAATGTTACTACCCACTCTTATTTTTTTAAGTAATTTTCTCCTAGACAGATAAACTTCAAAGTTATAACTCTTAAAACTAGGAAACTTGCAGAGTAGGTTGTCCAGATATAAGCTGTCATGATTTGAGAACAAAACTAGGAAGACCATCGTGCTGTAATGTGAGACCGAACATGGTGACTGCTGAGTGCTGTGTGACCCCAGCACGGACTGTGTCTCGGACAATTAGGGGCCATGAAAACCAAGTCCCCCTCCGGCCCTGGTGCTAACCTGTCCACGCTCTTGCTTCGAACTGTCCCTGGGATGCAGGTGGGCGTGTGAGATAAACTGCAGTACTGACACAGCCAACTTCTTCCACTGCTATCAGCACCTGCACGTGTTTTTCCATTCAGCAAGGAACAAAACGAGTAGGAAAGGTAGAGAGGCCACCCGTGGACGGTCGTGACGCTCCACACATGTGCCCCTCTGTCCGCTGGTCTTTGTGGAGACTTACAAATCCCAGACAAATCTCATAACGCTCCAGCAATTGTAAAAGTCTTGGATAAGAAAGCCCAGTCCATGGGGCAGAATGTTATGAGTGCCTTCCCTTGTAGCTTTGGAAAGGTCAGAGTTTGGAAAGGTGAAAAGGACCAGTGGGGTCTGAGTAAGAGTAAAGAGGAAAACGTTGTTGTCAGGGTGTGGCCTAGAAAAGGAACAGGCAGACAAACTTTGAGGAAGGGCTGCGGGTGTGGCACAAATAAAAACAAGAAGTTGAGTGAGAAGTTCAAACTAAAACTACAAGTCCCTGAAAAAACATCCAGGAAATTCCAAGCCCCAGACTGTGACGAGAACAGAGGAGACAGAGACAATCACCAAGAAGCACGTGCTCAGCCCAGCACGAGGCGGCCTGGACGCTCCCAGGACCCACAGCCTGAGCAAGGCCACTGAGCTGAACGGTGCGTGATTTCTTACATGCACACAGGTCTAAGTTCAGCTAAGAAAGACCGCTTCAGGGTTATGAAACAGGGAATTAGACATACAAAGATTAACTAAGATGAAAAGCAGCAGGCTTATTAAAAACAGAGAAAAAAGTTTAAGTGTATTATTATTGTCAGAGATCTTTTGCCCAAAAGAATACTTCTTCCCCTGGGAAAAATGCATTAAATCTTTAGTGATCATTCATCTAACTGCAGAAAGAGGGAAAAGCAAAGATGAGTGAGAGAACAGCTGGTACATTCAGGGCTTAGCATGTGTCAGCTCCTGTTCTAAGTGTTCTGTACACATCAACTCACTGGACCCTCACTGTTACAGATCAGAAAACTGAGGATCAAGTGATTTGCTGAAAAATTACATAGCTAACAAATGCTAGATTCAAACTGGGATGACTCCTCCTGGAGCGTGTGTTTTCAAGAACTACACTGTAAAGTGATCTTTGTTTTCTTTAGCTCTCAATTTGGTAGAAACAATGAAAAACAGACAATGATTTTGAAATCATACAAGTTCTCCACCATGGGCTATCTTTACAGCACTGGTATCACTGAGAATGAGCCAGTCATTAGGTGAGGATGGGCAGGACCCTAAAAATCGCTTCAAGGGTGAAGGACATACAAGTTTACACACATGTAAAGTACCTGAATTACTTTTGTGACAACTCCTATTTAGGAGATAGAGAAATTATTAAGGAAATGTATTTCTATGACTAAAATATCTCTAACAAAGAGACTGAGTCTTTGATGCAAAAGCAAACTGAATCTCACAAATAACATTATGCAATAATATTATCATGCTGTAACGTGATGACATATTTTATGAGCCTTTTAATTTTCACAATTATTCAACCCTAATACCTATGAAAGCTGATAGAGGGATGAGGCAGATATATGAGAGCTTCTACATTCTAGTTTTGCTTCTCCTATTTCTGTGAAGTGGAGAAATCTTTCAGTTGAAAACTGGGACAACCAATAAAAAGAATTAAGGTCCAAGATATGGGCATGTCTTTAAATGAACTAAGTCTGTAGGTCTAGATTAACAGTGCCCAATTATTTAATAACTTTGAACAACTTTAAGTTATGCTTTAAAATAACTTCATTTATGTATTGGTGGTACTAGACTTAAGCTGCAAAATACAGGAATGAAAATAAATTTAGGCCTCAGAAATTCTGAATTGTGTCAACAAATAGCCCTTTCTCCATAAGATAAATATACTAAAATACTATCACAGAACAACTGATGATTTCCAAAATATTTAAAAATTAGGGCATTATTGTTAGTGAAAATAACTGTATTACACATAGTCCAGATGATTTTATAATTATATTTCTTTACAATTCTATTAGAGATATTTGTGAGCCACTAATGAATGGACATATAGTTATTAATATATAATTAGAAAAAATACCCATAGTTGTCTAGTACATAGGTGTGCACAGGTCCATGCTGTGTCTGCAAACAGATCTGCGGTGTGTGATGAGTTAATGGCATCCCGGAAGAAGCACACAGAGTCTACCGGGGCTGCCTGCACCCTTGGCCCAAACAAGAGTGTTTGCATTATCCAAGGCTTGGAAACAGATACTACGAGTTCAGTGGCACTTCTGGATGACCCTAAATCTAACGAGAATTTAAAAAGTAGCCGATGGGTGTAAGATGGAGAGGGACATTTGGCCTGTGGACTGGTTTAGTAGGAGATACAGTCTCTGCAACCAGGAAGCCGGCTCCGGATTTTACAGCTCTTGGAATAGTGACTCCAAATATGAGAGTTGCTGGTTGAGGTGCTGATAAAAGCTCAGGGGTCAGAGACTCAGAGATGAAGAAGAGGATCCACCAGAAGCTGGGGAACTGGCCCTGCAGCTGTTCCAGAACTTGTCCTGGACAACTGCCAATGAAGTGGTGGCTCAACTGAGGGTGCAACAGCTGAATCTGTGAACTTAATTCTCCAGCTGAAGAAATGCAGGCTTGATTTCCATTTCAGTTCTCCCCACGTTACCTCAGGTAAAAACAACTGAGCTCAGTGACAATCAAATCTTCAGGGCCTGGACATGTTAGTCGAAAAACTTCCACATCTCACACATCCAAACATGAGTGGAAATAAACTGAAAGACATTAGCACCTTGGAGCCTTTACAAAAGTTGGATTGCCTGAAAAGCGGCTCCGTGTAACTGAGGTGACCCACTTGAAAGACTCCCGAGAGAGGGTCCTCAGGCTCCTGCCCCAACTAAGCCAGCTGGGGCTTCCCGACAGGGGAACCAGGAGCCCCGGACTCACGGCCCGAGGTGGACGGTGCAGATGAGGAGGAGGAGGAGGGGAAGGAGAGAGGAAGAGTTAGCTGAACAAGAGGACAAAGATGAGGTCAGTGAGAAGAATTTGGACTTGACGGAGAAACTGATAAAGATGAGGAAGATGAGGATGGAGAGGAGGAAGAAAGCAGAAAAGGCGCAAAAAGGAAGGAGAAACAGGTGTCGACCGACCCCATCATTGTAAAACACACCTCCGCAGCAGTCCTGGCTGGAGTGCTCATGGATTTGGTAGCTGTTTTTCATGGGTTTTTTTTTTTGTACCGGGTATCGAACTCGGGTCCTTGCACTTGTGCAGCAGGCGCATGTTTTGTTTTGTTAAAGTTAGCTGGGAGAGAAACCCCAGGACACCCACCCACACTTCGCCTTCCTCCACATAGTCCCTCTGGGCAATCTGCCACCAGGCATGGGGGCTCCACCCCAGCCGAAGGCAAGCACCGCCCAGCGAGCCTGTGTGCAGAGAGCTTCGGGGGGCGACTCAGCCCTGTGGCCCCGAAACCCCGAGAGGGAGGGAACAGCAGTTCTGCCTTCTGTACCATGAGAATAGGTAAAATCTCACCAGTTTGAAAATTATGAAATGGAAATATTAAGTGTTCAATGTCTACAGTTCCCAAGGCTTTAAAAGTAAAAGTTACTAATTCTCCATCTTATGTTTTCCTCAATCCAAGAGAACGAAGTATCTACTTTCATAACTTTAAAACTGAGTGATTTTAGGTGGGAAAAGATCCTCCTGGAGGAATCTGTATTCTCACGGCACCTTTTAATGTTATGCCAGGCGACCCTCACATCCGCCCAGCCTTGGCAGCATTTCAATTTTAACGTTGTTTGAGAGCTGCCATATTAGAGATGCCACTGCTGCTGCTGACCAAATTCCCAGTTCAGAGAGTGGCAAGAAGACTGGCCTGCATGCACCTCTCACCTAGGGACCGCTGCCCGGCCCTGGCCAGCTGCTTCCTGCAACTGGGCCCAGACAACAGGACCTTGAGAAGCTGGTGGCATGGAAATGGAAGTTAAGCATGAATAGTGACAGTAAATAATCCTATTTTTAATTACAGATTATTAGTTTGGGATATTGCCTCCTAAAAGACTGCCATCCAGTACAGTATATCTGCTGTGGAATAACAAAGGCAGGGGAAATCTGAGAACATCAACTTTCACACCCTTTTCACAAAGGTTAAGTATCCTGATGACAGTCACAACAAGGGAATGGTAGATCTGGGATGGAAACAAGATCCCTGGTCTTCCGGAACTTAGGGCTTTCATTTCCCACTTTCTCAGCTACTAAGAGAGTGCTGATGAAGGGTAGGAAAATCATGTTCTAGGAGGTACAGTTAATGAAACAACATGTTTAAATTTCCTAACAGAGGCGGGTTTCACCACTGTCTTTCTTAAGAAGGTATTTATTCTGCATTGTTTTATTTGAAGACAAAAATAAAATAATAAAGATGTACTGAAATGAAGTCAGAAGGGTAGATCTTGGCTTAGTATAAGGTAAATATAAGCTTTGTGCAGTGGCAGTATCGTAGCCAATGAGGTTTATCTGAGGCGTGATTATTGCTAATTGAAAACTATAAGGTAAATATTTTATAGAGAAAAAACTGGCTCACCAAAAAGGCATTTTGTGTGCTGTGTGTATGCTACAAAGTGCTGAGGGGAGACAGCAGGGTTTAATTAGGGTTATCCCAGCACTAGTGACTATTTTAAGGGTACAAGGCCCACAGTCCCCAAGCCTTTGAAAGTAAGAATGACTAATATTCCATATAACATTTTCCTTAATTCCAGAGAATAAAGGAGTAAAAGGGTGAAAAATTCATAAAACATTGAGCATGCTATTTGAGGCAACATAAATAACACAAAGAGTAGTATAAATATGAATAGGTTCTCTTGGGATTTATGTGCCCACAGGGACCCAAACATAAAAATAAATTTCAAAGATCTCCTTTTCCAAAATAGAATATGACTTATCTCTAAGCTTGTCTTTAAAATATTTTCCCTTCACAGTTTAAAAAGTTTAAAAGTTGGAAAGATTCACTGAGTTCTTTCCCCTCCAAAAAAACACATTCTCTTTTTTGTATCAGTAGTAAAAACTTCACTGACCACCCATGCTAAACTATGGGAGAATAAGCATTCTAAATCTGTAATCTCTGGATTTTAAAACTAAAGATCCTGATTTTTAAAAAGTAGAAACAAACTATTTATAAACCCTGCCACCCCATGGATGCTACATCTCCTTCCTACATATACATCCATTTCAGGCTCAGGGTTGGTTGTAAGATGCACAGTACCTGAGGGAAGCTGAAAAGAGCACGCGACACACCCACCTCATGGTATTTTTTCGTGACTTTGCTTGGAACACACTGACACTCATTGCAGCTGTGGAGACAGCAGGCACAGTTCCCACCGCAGCGTTTAACCAGGAGGCAACCTGGCCAGAAAATGGTATCGGTTCTCTTCAGTTCCTCCCGTATGGACACCGAGAAGTTCCGAGGGGTGCAGCTGTACAATCTCACCTCCTCTTTTATAAGGTTCAGGTCTACCACTACGGGGCAGAAGAAGAGCAAAGAAAAAAAAATGAACGTTCATGCTTTGAGCCCAAATGTACTTCATAGAGCACTTTCATAAAGAAATCCAGCTATTTCGTGAATAGTTACTCGAACAACATCCCTTCGAATTTTAACTAGGTTGTAAGGCTATACAGCTTGCAAATTGATGTTTCATTTCATGGTAAACAACGCTTCATTATGACTTGGTGACCAATAAAGAGACACCATTGTGCAATATGATGAACAGAGCCAACCCAACAGTTGAGAGCTATAAATAGGAAACTTCATAGAGAAAAAGGGGGCTACACCTTTTAACCTTTGTAAGAAAGTAGACAAAGAGAGGGCATTGGAGAGAAGAGTACTGTGTAAAACGATGAACGCTTTGATTAAAAAACAAATATAATGTTTAAAAGGGTAATAGGCATATTCAATTAGTGAACAACTTACTGAAGCCAGTCAAGAGAACCTTCTATAATCTTACTGGCAGTAAGAAACATAATATGCAGAAAGGGGATGAAGAATATGTATTTCTCAAGACAGCTGAATGAACCATAAGTAAAAAGAAAATGTTTTATTGTAACACCAGAAGTTGTTAGAAAGCACAGCTTCCCGGAGTATTAGGTATATACGCTTTTTAAAACTTAGAGTAGATTCCTTTTGATTTCTGTTCTCCCCCAGCTAAAAGATGAAAGAGATGTCTAATTGGAGGCCATTGTCTCCATTCTTGTAGCAAGCTGTTTAACTATTTTGTGCTTCATTTTTTGAAGTTCCTACTTATGACGACTACACAAAATACCCTTTCATTAGATGGTTACAGTAAATCCTCAAAGAGCCACTGTTTTTAACTACAAAATGATTCTGTCTCAGAAAGCTTACACGAACATAACATGCCGTATTTACTGTGAATTTATACATTACCTAGCACTTGAATAGTAGTTAATTATTAGAATAAATCCTTTTAATATCATTTTAATTTCTGCTTTACAGCTCTGTCTTTCTTTAGAAATGCCATGAAACACAATGACTCTAAAAATTTTAAGAAAGTCATATTATATATATTCTTTGGGGTTCTTTTTTAATGAAAATAACAATTTTACTGAACAAAAATTTGCATACTGTACAATTTACAAAATGAAGGTGTATGATTCAGTTCATTTTAGCATCTGACAGAGCTGCGCATCCTGATCAGTCAGGTGTGATCATTCTGGTCATCCCCAAGCAGAAGGCTACCACTCCCATCACCTCCTCATCGCTCCCTCTATCTAGGCAGCCTCTGCAGACTCTCCACCTGCATGGATTTCCCTATTCTGCAAATTAATTAATTGACATACTTATTTTTATTCAAAATGGCCCATGCTCATGCAACAATAAAGGTCTTAACGTATCCAAAGGACGAAACTCTGCAAGGTGAGCTCTAACACCACCCTGGAGTGAAACTAGAAACAGACGGCAGGAACATACTTCAAATATAAATTTTTCTCTTTCTCTTTTCCTATTACCTCTTTTTTCATACTTTATATATTTATTTACCTATATACTAACTCTTTAATCTAAGAAACATCTGTTCCATCATTTAGCTGAGGGAGGATAGAAAGCTGAAGAGATCTACTTAGTCTAAACAAAGACCATAAATCCCAATACCTTTGAAGTCGTACTTTCTAACAACTTCTGCTCTTATAATAAAACCTCCCCTACATGAAAATGTTAACATACACATAAAGGGCTCTTTGTTTTTCCAGGAAGTTTTTTTTAACAATTAGAGCTATTGCCTAAAATATAAGAAACATGGTTAAATACTTTTACACTAGTATAAGAAACTTTGAAAACATGAATTGAAAGAAATACTTTCTAATTAAAGATGTTTTCAAATAATTATAACCATCAGGGAAATCTAATTAAAAAAATTAATTGTTGCATTTTAAATAATTTTATAATCTAAACGTTTGTCTTCTTGGCATTGTAATATATATGATCAAGATTTTCTCATCAAAGTGACAGTTTTATTATTTCTAAGAAATATATTATAGAATTATGCATATGTAATTATGAATTACAAACATGATAACTATATGACTGAGGAAAACCTAGGTCAAGTAGTAGGAACGCACCTAGTCAGACTAATTCAGCAGGTCCATTTCAACACTATCAGCTAAAATAATATTTTTCTGGTTCAATAGAAAATCAGTTTTTATTTGAGTGAAGATTTTTAATCTGAAAACAATGCTGTGAAAACTTTTAAATATTTAAGAGAAAATAAGTTCATTTTTTTCAAGGGCCCAGAAAAAAACCAATATATCTGTGATAAAATCAGTAAGATCATTAGGTTAAATGATGTCACATATTTTACCTGGTTTCATTCTGCTGCACACTGTATATGAGCAGATTTCTCTTTTATTGCTCAAAATACAGGTGATCTTATTGAATCTAGATCTTACTTACCTCCAGAAGATAAAGTGTGGGCCAGAGGGGAGAAAGTATGAAAACACACACAGACATAGAAGCTGGCTCCCAGTTTCCAATGCTGTTTAAGATCTATCTTCTTCAGAAGGTGAATGAAGCTCTTAGCTTTCAAAGGACATTCACCTTCCCCAAATAGTTTTAGACGCACTAGTTCATGACGCTAGAAAACAAGACTATGTATGTTCTCTTTGAATGTTCACTTAGCCACAATAAAAGCTTAGGTAGATTTCCCAAGCGCAGTAAGTTACAATACCTGCTGCAACATGAAAATTTAAACACACTTTCAACTTCGCTTCCACTCATTTATCACATTTGACACACAAGTCAACAGCCTTTTTCAAAGCACTAGTTAAGCTTGACTGAGAAAATACCATTTTTCTTTTTTCCTGCAGTAGAAGCTTATGAATTAAAAACTCAGGCCAGAGGAAGAATTGGGAAGTAAAGTAGCAGAAAAACATGCATCCAGGCCACCCTGGGCTAAAGAGACAATTTAGGGGGTTAAAGTGGCTTATCATCTTTGTAATCTATGCTTCCTAATCCTAAGGCTTCAAATACATATAAACTTTGTTAAAGCAAGTACTGGGAGAATAATATTATATCACAAATTCTCCAAACACTACACAGAACTGCTAGAGGAGAGAGAGGAGGAAGGAAGGAAACAGAGGAAGGAAGGAGAGAAAGAAAGAGCAAGAGATAGAGGGAGAAAGAAAGAGAAAGAGAGGAAGGAAGGAATTGAGGAAGGAAGAAAGAAAGAAAGAAAGAAAGAAAGAAAGAAAGAGAAGCAAGCATATGATTATGTTCCAAGGCATATTTTTATTAGCTTAACTATAATATTAAGAAGTTTTGCTCTACAAATTATTGGTAATATAGAACTCAGCCTTTCGGTTCTTTTTTCCTTTATATAATTACTGCCTGAGACAGGGTGTGTACATTAGTTTGTCTTTCTAAAGAACAAAGAATTTGACCACACAGCTAGTCAAAATCATGATTTCTAGAGCAAATTTCACTAATATTCTAAGTTTCACTAAGAAAGATAATACTGACATTAAGAATTATGGTCACATTTTACTTTGTTAGTCTTTCATTCTTTTAAGTTATTCAATCCAAGGATATTGTGTTATTGTAACACAATCCAAGGGTGGTCTTTCTAAGATGAATGTGGTAACACTGTGATATGTTTATTCTGGGGAAAATCTGTTTCAGTGTCTAATTAGAAGCTTTTAAAAGTTTTACTCCTGTTCCCTTGTACAATGATTCTCAAGAGGGGAGTTGGTTTTGTCTATATAGATGTTATGCCACACCTGCATTTTAGTTTATGTAAAGTTCCAAAAATATACACTGCTGTGCTCACACTTACTCTATGCTTAAAAAGTTAATAGTTTTGGCAAACTCCAAAAGGCTTCAATTTGCAAAGTGTTAAATGAATATTTGAAAGATATGGTGCAGCTCTGGATGCTTTTAAATGCGTGTCAGCCTCAGGCCAAATCTTTGAGAAACAGGCAGAGAAATTTAGGGATAAAGATGTGGCTGGAAGGTAGGATTTTAGGCTAGAATCCAGAAATCAGCTGTCACAAAAGTAGATCTGAGCTTAGAAACGTTTTGCTCACTGCCCCTGCTTCTTACAGATGCACATGATAATCTATTTCACATTTGCCAACAAAAGCTCTATTCATGGGTGTTTCAGCCAGTGTTGCTGATCTTCACCTTCCTGTTCCTAAGTGGGAGGGAGGGGAAGTGTTGTTGGTAGGTTATTCATCAAGTTATTCATCAAGATCAAATCTCTTAGATGTGTAACAGCATTCAGCATCTGGACAGGATTCAGCTGCCCATGCACTTGAACAGGCATTTCAAATTTTTCCAAAAGGAAACCCAGTCTGCAGGCATGGCAAAATACCAGAGTGCTGCAAGTCTGAACCTGACCCGCTGAGATTAAAGCTCATCATCCAAAGGGCTGCAAATCTGTGCTGGAAAAGGCAGGAGTCGGGTTTCTTTCTGACAAGATTTAGAACGAGTCTGGGGCCATCTCCCCTCCTGAGCAGCTCCAATTAACGAAACACTGTTCCTTCCACGCCTTCTCCAGGCCATCATTACTTTCTATAGAATGACTCTGCATTCATTTCAAGGCTGTGACAGACTGAAACAAATTTTTTGAGCCATCCTGTTATTCCTATTGCCTTTCCATTTGTGTCTGATAGGAATGCTTGGCATTTCTAAGTTTCCTAGGAAACCCAGCTAACCTTCTTGAAAGCTCAGCTAACATTAATGGCAATTTCTTTATCGCATGGATTTAGATTTAGTCATCAGTACTTTCACTCTTAAAATGAGATTTTTCCTGTTTGGCCAAAAGTGATAATTTCAAAAGCAAATTTATCTGAAGAAAAGCTATCATGGTGTGATTTCCTTTAGGTCATCATTTTCTTGCTATAAACTCTACCTTGGAAACATCTCACTTTATTTTTCTGTCTATCCATTGCTATTTTACACATTGAGAACTTTCTAGGCTTAGGAAATATAAATGAATGCATCTGTCACCATGGGAGAAAGAATGCTAATGATTTTTATAGAGCCTCCCCACCTTCCAGTCCCAAATCTTGCTTCACAGCTATGATAATTCCCCTTGAATCTATAAATCAGTGTGCTCCAAAGGTAGACTAGAGTAAGCAATGATTCTTACAAAATGGAATAAAATTCATCAACATGCTATTTCAGAAGATTAAAAATGACTGGAACTTTCAGAAGTATCTCTTAAATTACCAAGCCCACTGGGTCACAGTTAAGGGACTCCTTTTGTCTCTATTCTCCTTTAATATATAAATAAGCTCAAATGATAAGAAAGGGGATTATTTAAATACATACATCACTGAAGAATTTTAAACTCTCCTATTTAGAAGTTGAGGCAGATGAATCTGAAACGTTAGTTGCTAAAATATGAAACAAGGGTCTAATCTGAAGAGGAGCTTACCTTTGGATTTTCTTCCAAACACGAAAGCCTTGCCCAGGAGCTGCCAAGAGGGCCTGTACAGATCTTCCAGGTCCAGCTGCCACCTGTCCGGCTCGAGATAGCGAATGAGTTCTTCCAAGGTACTGAAGGCCGAGATGGCATTATTGAGCAGCTCCAGGGGCAAAGCCGAAGGGGGCAACACCGAAGGACTCCCCACCTCTGCAACTTGCTGAAAGCAGAGCGAATCCTCTGTTAATTACTATAAAACTGACAGTGTGTTCCTGCCATAATTACTCACCAACGTGGGCAAGGGTGAGAACACATGGGAAGCAAAGCTGCATTGAACTCAACTAGGCAGAATTATTGTGCAACGATTTTCACACAGATGAACTCTGATAGGTTTTCTGTGAAATCACATGAAAAAGATCTTAATTTCCATTACTATGTACCACGCATCTAGATATCTTCTGCACATTGAAAGCCGTTTTCACGATTCAATTACAGATACACAATGGAAAATGTAATACAATTGTCCTAATTTTTCTTTTACTCTATTTTTCAATATTCCCCATTCTGGAAAATGGCTTGAAACTCAGTGCCACATGAATTAAAATATTAAGATAAAATAACTCATGAGAACTAGAATAAATTATGGGTGATAAGTCTTTGACACTGGTGAATAACTTTTTAGTGAAGATAGAAAATGCCTAAACCATAAATGATCAACCTGATAAATTTGTCTTCATTTTTTTTAACAAAAGACTTATTAAGATTAAGAGATTGGAGGAGAGCGAGGGGGAAACACTTTGCCAAACTACATACATGACTGTCACAAGATTAGCATGCAGAACACACCAATCAGGAGAAGATAATTCCATAGGGGGGAATAATGAGCAGACTTTGAGACAAGAAGCTTGAAACTATGCTAAAAATAAAAGAATATGCTTAATAAATAGAATATGCAGAAATCTAAATAATAAGAAAACAGGCTAACTTTCATTATCCCATGCAAAACAAAAATGAGGTATTGATTCACATACGAAAAAGGAGGCACCACTTCAGAGATGAGATCATAGTGAATTTACGGTGGACAGGGGGACGCAGTGGCCTGGCACTCCTGAGCTCTGCCTGCAGAAGAGTGAGCAAGACACCAGCCATTGGGCAGGCAGAGGGCGCCAGTGTGCACTGGGCACTGGGGTTCCGGGCCTCTCGTGCCCCTGGAATGAGCCTGGAGATGCACAGCCTTTCAGGTGTGCACTGGAAGTGTGCAAAGGCAGGAATCGCAGCCTTGTGTGAGAGAGAGATGCCGTGGAAGCAACTACACGGGCCAGGGTGGGGTGGATTAGACCACCCAAGACTAAATGGCAGGCCCCAGTAAGTCACAGACTTCAGTCACAGCAAGGGCTTTTGAAACTCAGTAAGAACTACCCTTTCCCAGTTTCCAACGTGTAGAGAGACGAGTGACAGACTTAAAACTGAAACAGGCAAGAAGAAATACAGAAAAAAAAGCATAAAATAAAGCATTTATGGTTGTTGATGTTCATTTATAGCAGTGTTTATAATGATAAAATTCTAGCTGGAAATTAAATGTCTAATAATGGAATAATTCATTTTGCTATCCAAAAAGTTAAATAGTGCACAGCCATTAAAAATGAGATCACCAGAAAGTTTTACTAACAAAAGGTGATGAAAATCTACAAATACTTAATAGTTTAAGATAAATGCACAAACATACATTTTTAACAAACCATGATCCTAATATGCATAAACTAAAACAAAATAAAAAGACCCAAAGTTTCTACAAAGATTGCTTATCTAAGGTTTAAACCACAATGCATGATTTTCTTTATCATATTTTCAATGTTTCCATAGTAACTATGAGTTCCTTTTAGAAGTCAGATTACAATAACATTTCTTATAATAAAACACTATCACAGCAGCTCTTCCTTCTCTTTACTTGGCGAGACCCTAAAACCATGCCCCAGGCTTAGTTCGAACCTTGTCTGCTTGCCTTGAAACTTTCCCTCCTGTCTTTCTGCTCTGCGTAACTGGGGTTCAGCCACCTGAAAGAAGACATCGCCCATCAGGTGACGGATGTGAGCATTTGCACCTGGAGGATAAAACCCCAATCCCTTACCCAACGTCCAGGGCCCCAAATGCGACCTCCACTCACCTTCTCATGCAATCCTCTACTCGCCCAAGCCAGGCAGATCCCTTCCCAGTCAGCCTGGCCTCGTTTCTAACCACACACAGATGCATCTGAGTCTCTGTGTCTTCACCCACGCCACACGCTGTCCTGCCTTCCCCATGCACAAAAGACTCCACCTGGTCGATCCACGTAATAGATCGTCATCATTTATCATGGCCTGTAAAACATTCACCCATCCAGGAGGCTATCCACGGAAGCAGGGCCACTGCTGGCTATGCGTGGTGGTCATGTCCACCCGAAAGAGCCACTCTCTGCACTGCTCAAGGCCTCTGGTCTGAAGCGAAGGAAGCAAGGAGCGCCCTTCCATGGGACGCACGGCTCTGGCAGGGGCTCTGGTTTCCCAGGACAGAGTCCTCCTGGGCACTGGGGATGTTCCTCCTGCGCGTGGTCAGGAGAAACGTGTGCGCTAGCTTTGGGACAGCAGCGACTCACTTCATTCTTATTTGGAAGGCTCAATTTCATAATCTTAAAGACCTGGCTAAAATATTAAGACCAAGAAATTTTCTAATTATGTTATAATGTTCATTCTACTGACTAGATTGCTAAACTTTTGAAGAGCAGAAACTAAGTACTGTGATTTTTATAATTGTTTGTGAAACACAAAATTGCTTTAGCACAGAGTACATGATGATTGCTAACTGTATAACAGATGCAAATAAGCAATGTTTAATAAATATTTACATCTTCGATTTACCCAAACTGGCTTATATTCAGTTTTATAATATGAGAAAGTTGATACAAATTTTTTCACAAATTTAAAAAAAAATTAGCTGAAGTGTATATAACTTTATAAACTGAAAATCAGGAGGTCAGGAATCCTCAAAAAATAACTGAAGCCAGACTCAGTGTTTTGCACCTGTAATCCTAGCACTCTGGGAAACTGAGGCAGGATTATTGCAAATCAGAGCTCAGCCTGGGCAATTTAGCAACTTAGTTAAAATCAAAAGTTAAAAAAAAAAAAGGCTGGAGATCTAGCTTGGGACAAAGGTCCTAAGATCTGCATACCACAAAAAAAGGAGTATCTGAGCATGACTCATGATTATGATGAGAGAGAACATACCGAAACCTTTCCAATCTGCATGCCGAAAGTAAACACTTGTTAGAAAAGTCACACACAAAGTATACATTACTCAAGTGTTGCACTGCAAGTGTACATTGTAGGCATGATCAACAATGGTTATTTAGGCTCTTTTCAATTAGACTGGGAACCAACGATCAGTTGTTGCACTCGGCTTCCACGTCTGTTGGAAACTCACTGAATCAACAATTCCTCATGAAACAATAAAGAGCTACAACCGAAACCAACTGTTACTGAGATAAAACCTAAGAGATTAATAAAAAAAAGTGACTCAAAATGATCCCGTAATACTGAGCATACAAAGCATGTCCACTTTTCGTTCAGTGAGGTGTCAGCCAGGTACCCTTCTCTTCACCTGGGACAAAGCTGGGAGGAAAGCCTCTCGTCGCCTGTCATTGGATGTATAGATTGGTTGGGGTCAGGAAACCTCCAAGCCTCGAAATACTTAAATTTAGTTAATCTCAAGGAAATTCCCAGGTCTCCACACATCTGTCTCTGTTCCTCATCCTGGGCCCTCACCAGAGAAAATTCCCTTCCCGTTCAACACATCATCCCAGACTCAGAAAATAAATCTCTGGACAGACTGGACAGAAAAGGGGAGGCTGTGCTACTTAAAATGCTTGTCATGACTATTACCTCACCCACTGGTTCAAAGAACTTCCAACTTGTTCACTGTCCAGGTTCTGCTTTTCTGGGTTGGTTGCATCCATTTGAGGGACATGCAGGGGACAATGGAAACAAAATGTTACAGGAAAAAGTGTCTTCGAAATTGTTATTTTTCCCATTGCAAAATGCCATATTGGGGGCAGACTCATGGCTTTTTCTCCTGTACTAAACATGAGGGAAATGCTAACAGTATCTTTGATATTTAAAATCCTTGAATCTGGCTGTTAAATTAGTTAAAAAATATTTATACTTGATGCCTTGACTTGAATTGGATTTTCATATTCCCTACTTCCTATCTTTTATGCTTGTAAAGGCAGACACTTGGAAGTTCTGAGCTGCCACAAGACGACACAGTGGGAGATGGGAGATGGCGATAGAAAGCAGAAATTCTTGGTGTGGTGTGACGATCAGGCCCCGGCCCTGCCCCGGTGAGGACAGGGAAGCCCTGCTGCCCCTGCCTCGTCAGGAGTCAGGAGCCAGGAGCTCTGCAGGTTGGGGAAGAGACTCAGGTCCAATACTCTGCCTCAGTTTCGTCCTTGCAAAACATGGCAGCTAAGCTAAGTGACCTTGCAGTTTCTTCTGGACTTTGACTCTTCCACTTGAATATCGTATGTAACGTCAGATGCCAGGGTCGGCAGAATGATCCGGAGTGGTTCAAAAGTACAGTATGCTGCTTGTGTCTATGATGAGGCAAAGCTCTGGTGTTCCATGGGTTTCTCTTCTAGTCATCCCTGTTGCTTTAGATTGTCAGGGAATTTGGGGACACTGTTGTACGTGGTGCAACAAACACCCTGCATCGAGATACCTGTTTGTTCAAGTGTCTTCATAAGAGGAGGAAATCTGAGCACAGACTTGGCCCCCAGGGCTCTGAAAACACAGGAGAAGGCAGGGTACATGAGCCAGGGGGTGCTTCAGAAGAGGCCGAAGGTGCCGACACAGACCTCACTGCACCATCGAACACTGAGAAAATGAACTGCTGCAGTGTGAGCCAGCCCGCCTGTGGAGGCTGTAAGGCAGCCCTGGACCATCAGTATGTGTCATCATCAGCCCTTGACTTGTGATCTCCCGTAGAAGCAAATAAGGGTTAATATACCTGTTCATCAGATCATTTAACAAACATTTACTTAAAAACCTATGAGGTGAGGACTGTGAAGAAAGCAGTCCAAAAGCCTTGGCCCTCTGCAGCTCATCCTTTCCAAACCAGATAGTTAGATCCTAGGAGAGATTCTTCTCTGGCCAAAATAAAAGCAAACTGAAAATTTTCGACTGTGAGTCA